TGCAGTGCACATTTTATTATAAACTAGCTTAAAAGCCACCCGATCAGGCGGCATTTAAGCTAGCTCTTGTGGAGGATTCTTGTTTTGGCCATCATCACAATAACTAGAAAGGATTAGATGCGGTAGGCATCAATAAATTACAGAAGAACTCAAAATTGATCACTGCATTTGAGTATTGAATTAATGTTTAATTCTACCTTTTAAAAGTTTAAGGATAATTCTTTAGTTGTCACTTAATTTAAGGACGATTTGATGGACGTAGGTCCTTATTTTCCGTATAAACAATTATTTTTATATCAAGCGTGACAGAACAGGGGACAATTTTAAGATAAAATTAATATAATGTAAAGATGGGAAACTAGAAATTAGAATTAGTTATACATTCATCATTTGAAGAGTTAGAGAAACATAATAGCTAATTAAGTAAAACCTATATTATGGAATCTATACGAATAAATGCGAAATTGGAACTCAATTCTCCCCCGAATTCTGAGATTAAAAAGCCACAACTCTACTTTATAATAATTTGAACGCTGTATTTTCTCTGTCCCCCCACTATGACGAGATGTGACAGAAAGTCTATTTTAGGTGAGGAGCCCGAGTGCGTGCACCCGGACAAGGAACACCCGGTTGCGCTGGCCTCGGTGCGAGAACCGATCCCTCCCTCTGGTGCAATGGGAGGGCGCGGCCTCGGGAAACTCTTCCCTAGCGTCTCTCAGTATTATTTTCCTCAGTTGCCCCTCTGTACTTTGACAGAGAAGACCCTGAACTCACTCTGTCCAAGAACAGAGATGCAACTGAGATGATAAGTAAACGTGAAATTACTCAAAAAGAGTAGATATTTACTCAACCCCACCACGAGGTCAGGTTGTGACACAAGGTCGGTTTATTGTGTGGAGCCGAGCGCGTACACCCGGGCAAGGAACAAATTCCCTGAGCCCTCGCAACCGTCGGTTGCGCTGGCCTCGGTGCGTGTACCGATCCTTCTCTCTAGTGCAATGAGAAGGCGCAGCCTCGGACAGCTCTTCCCCAGGGCCGGCACCTCTCAGTATTATTTTCTCAGTTGCCCCTCTGTCCTCTGATCTGTCCAAGGACAGAGACGCAAATGAGAGATGATAAATAGATGTCTACCTACTCAAAAAGAGTAGATATTTACTCAACTCCCCACGAGGTCAGGTTGTGACACAAGGTCGGTTTAATGTGGGGAGCCCGAGCGCGTGCACCCGGGCAACGAACAAAATTCGGTTGCGCTGGCCTCGGTGACGGAGTCGCCCCTGAGCACACTCTGCCCAAAGACAGAGACGTACCTGAGAGATGATAAATAGATGTCTACCTAAAAAAGAGTAAGTTACGCGCTAAACGCTCAATATCTGTATTATATATTATCTACTTCTAGGGAATATCACTCATCAGGTTTAACTATTTTGCTTATTGATTTTAAAAAGTTTATTTCATTAATTAACTGTCCTTCATTAGTGTTCTTTTATTCGAGGATTGCTTTGATTTTGATTATCAAAAACAGTTCTGTTTAGGAATATTGTCTTATATAGAGCAAAAAAGTATTTGAAATTTGCATTTTATTTGGCCTTCAACAAGTTGGCATCTATTTGTAAAACTTTTCTTAACTATAACAAGCCAATTTATGAATGAAATGTTCATTTAAAATTGTTGTTTCAGAGATTTCAAGTTGTGAATATATCTTATATAGCGAGCGGGCGAAGCCTGTTAGTGTATGATAGACGATGATTAACTCTTAATTTGGATAGATTACGATAACATAAGTTCGCCTGAGTTCTTCTCTGCCCGAAGGCAAAGAGGCCGACTCGCAGAGTATTGTCAAACTCAGAGGTTTGATATAGCAAGAGTTGTTAGTATCACCTACCTACCCACCTGGACGATGAGTCAACACCCTAAATAAATCACCTACATATACGTTCGAGTTCTTATTTTTTATTTTTTTATTATTCAAGGTTTGTTTTGATTTTCATATCAAAAGCTGTTCTGTTTATCGTCTTATATAGTGTAGAAAAGTGTTTGAAATTTGCATTTTATTTGGCCTTCAACGAGTTGGCTTCTATTTGTAAAACTTTCCTTAACTATAACAAGCCAATTTATGAATGAAATGTTCATTTAAAATATTTGTTTCAAAGATTTCAAGTACTGAATATATCTTACTTTGTTAAGCGATAGTGAGCGGGTAAAGCCTGCTAGTATATTATATTTTCATGTTTCGGTCTCCCACGTGGTATGACGTCATAGAAGCGCATCTTGAACTTACGACCTATGTCTGCTTTTCCGCGACCGTTACCGTCGAAACCTTCTATGGCAACATAATAAAATATCACGTTTGGTGGTGAATATCTTTGTTTAAATATCTGTATAACCACTCTGAAGGTGGTTCTTGTGAGCCGGAAGCTTAGATTAAGTACCGACTTAAAAACATATTCAAATGTTGGATAATTTGTGTTTTTATTTTTACCCGAAATTAAAGCAAATATACAAAGTTTAGAACAGCTCGTGATCAGACATAATAAGACAAGCACTGGCTGTTATATTTAACAATATATGTTTAAATATCTATCTATCTATCTATCTCGTTCTGTTTATATCTATCTATCTATCTATCTATCTATCTATCTATCTATCTATCTATCTCTTTCTGTTTATGTCTATCTATCTATCTATCTATTATTATTATTATTAAATAATGCGGCTTAATTAATATTGTAAAATAGTCATTTAAAAAATAAATTAATAAGTTAATGTAATTAATGGCGAACTCACTTCGCTAACAGATTAAAAAAGGCATTAACTCACTGATCACTCGCTGAACGAGACGATACTTGTTTTATTAATTGTACAATGGATTAGATGGTCAATCCATATTGATTGCAAGTACTTTCGGTAAAAACATTTATCATCCTCAGGCATAGATGTTATTTTTTTCCAGTTTCAGGTAATTTCGGTTAAAATTCCAAGACGAAAATGAATGTGATACTTGTCGAAAGAGGTTTTATTAAAAGTTAAGAATTTTTTTTGAATATTCAGCAATGCGACGCTAGGTTTTATAATATAGTAGTAAAGTAGTAATTCACAGTTTCTATTATTATGTTTTTAATTTCTATTATTGTAAGTGTTTTTTACAATATATATATATATATATATATATATATATATATATATATATATATATATATATATATATGTTTCATTAAAAACGACAGACAAGGTACTACGTTTAAGCTTTTTATTTCATTTTTCTTGTGTTCGAACAAGAGCTTTCTTTTCTGGACAAAGAGTGTGTAAAAAAAAACTTACCAGACTCCATTAGAAACATACTCGTAGAAAACACAAATATATCAACTGCACCCACCTGTAAAAAAGATTAAAAATAATGGAAGCTTTAATAATAAAAAAAGAAAAAAACAACTCTTAACAATATTAACTACGAACAAAGCCACAATGTGGTAACCGTATTCGGAAATTAAAAACATACCTACCACAAACTAAGACATACACAGAACGCACACACTCAATTAAGCTGAAAATCGAATCATCCTTGACAATGGCTAAATATATAGCCGAAAGCGCTCGGAAATATAAAACATTCGGACAGTTCTTACACACCCTTTGTCCAGAAAAGAAAGCTCTTGTTCGATCAACAACAAAAAATTAAATAAAAAGCTTAACCGTAGTACCTTTTTTATCGTTTTTAATGAAACATGCATAAAGGAAGGATTGCTGCCTAAATATACAACTATCCCATATATATACACACACACACACACACACACACATATATATATATATATATATATATATATATATATATATATATACTATCATATCAGATAGAACGACTCAAGAATTTCGCGCTGAGACACTAAACGGGATCTCAGATAAACGATAATGTAGCTCTAGTTTTGATGACCTGAAATATACGTTAAATTCTTCTAATTACAAGCTATTCTCTTTAGTGGTATTCTTATTATAACACACACACACATACAAGTAATTTATATATAGGAAGCACGGTGGAGTAATATATTGAGGAATCGGAGAGCCAAGTTCAAATTCCAGTCGGATCCATTGCATTCACTTACATGCTAATACTCTTGGGAAAGGTATGAATCCTCTCCTTCTACCCACCCAGCTATGTGCAAATAGGACAGACTGGGTTCTATAGCCTTGGATGGCAACTGGTCTAGTAGAAGAACAACTCTGTATTCAACACCTGAGGAAGGTTGTCTGGGGACCTTGTGGCACATTGCACACCAGTTTTCTCTGTATTCGGCTCTTCCAAAAAAGGTGGTTGGTTGTGCAGAAGCCAATACCACTATAATCAAATGATATATGTACGGGTAGTCTGGCTGTCGGTCTCTAAGAGTTGATTGAGCCTCGTACGTCGAAATCGACAGGAGATTCCATAATATATATATATATATATATATATAGAGAGAGAGAGAGAGAGAGAGAGAGAGACAGAGACAGAGACAGGCAGACAGACAGAGAGAGAGAGAGAAAGAGAGACAGAGAGATAGAGAGAAACAGAGAGATAAGCAAACAGAGAAGAGAGCCGAGAAAGAAGTTAGCAGAGAGATAGATAAAATTTAACACATTGATATGAACTGAATATATAGAGACCAAACTAAATAGCTAGAAGATATATATATATATATATATATATATATATGAACAGAAAGAGAGAGAGAGAGAGAAAGAGAGAGAGAGAAACAGGCTAAAATAGATAGATAGATTGATAGATACCCACAGATTAAGATAGATAGATACAAAGGTACCCACAAACTAAGATAGCTAGATAGACAGATAGATAGATAGATAATGAACAAAGACACACTTAAATATATATATATATATATATATATATATATATATATATATATATATATAGAGAGAGAGAGAGAGAGAGAGAGAGAGAGAGATATAGATAGATATTGACAAACTGTGTTGGATAGATAGATAGGTTTGGACAAACTGTGTTAGATAGATAGATAGATAGATAGATAGATAGATAGATAGATATCAACAGACTGAGATAGATAGATAAGATAGATAGAAAGATAGATTACAATGAATATTGCCGAAGTGAAACAAAGATACTGACAGGCATTGATATAGAAAACATGACAGATGAAAAGCGATGGGCCTTGAAAAGCGTATTTGATGTAAGCGAGGTTCCAATACGAAAAAGCTTTTGTTTGGACAGGCGGGTGGATGAATGGATTTAATAAATGGCCGGGTATGCTGGGTGGCTGGTCCGATTTTGCTGGTGTGGAGGTGGCAGTTCTGTCGGGTCTGACAATAGGAGTAGCCAACAAACAAGATGGCCGACCGGGTAGTCTGATGAAACAAAAAACACAGGTGGGAGGAATGAATAAAGCTGGGAAGGGAGGAGGGAGGAGGAAGATGCTGCGAATCAAGCCACTATCACTTCGTCGGATGAATGATGAAAAGTGAAAAGGTTGTGAAGATTGATTTGTGGGAGGGTGTGTGTGTGTGGCAGGGGGCGGGGTTGAAACGTGGGTTTTGTTGTTTTGGCTCGTGGTAAAGAAATTCCGATCGTTTGGCGGGCAAAAGAGATGAGAAACTGGCGTTTTTCATTTCATTTGCAGAAAAGCGAGATTTGGTACGAAGAGGTTTTATTTTATTTTATTTTATTTATTTATTTATTTATTGTTGCTGTTGTTGACTCGGACCAGTTGTCAGATGTTGCCCTGACCTTTCGAGGTTCAAGTGACCTCTTAATGGACATTATTAGCATAATCTTTTGTCGTCGTCGTCGCCGTCGTCATTTAAAGTTGAACAGATTTTCTTTCATGGGTTATTGCACTAGATAATATAGAGAAAGGTGCACACGTTAGGAAAATAAAAGGGCAAATGAAAACAAGAAGAAAAATAGGCAAAGAAGCCAGAGGGAAATGAAAAAAAATCAACTACAACAGCAACACCAACGGTAGAAATAATAATAATAATAATAATAATAATGGATTGTAATGTATCTTTGAAAATCTTCAAAATACTATCAAAACACAAGAATCTTGAAGTGGAAATATAAAAAATATAAACTATTTTATATGCGTACAAGATAATAATAATAATAATAATAATAATAATAATAATAATAATAATAATAATCTCTCTATATTTCTGACATGAGGTGTTATGTACATTATTTACATTATTCGGACTATTGTCCTCATCTTTGTCGCCATATTTATTACAACGTTTCGGCCGTTGTACACCCCGGACTTCTTCAGGTGGTTGGAATGTCGAACTGAACCCTTTATTTCGTTCACTGGGGTAGACTGTTCTAGTTCCACGTGCCATGTCTAATGGATGTCGCCTGTTAATTCCCCTCTCCAAGACATCCATTAAACATGGCACATGGAACTAGAACAGTTTACCCCAGTGAGCGAAATAAAGGGTTCAGTTCGAAATGCCAACCAACTGAAGAAGACCGGAGAGTACAACGAAACGTTGTAATAAATATGGCGACAAGATGAGGACAATAGTCCGTATAATGTAAATAATGTAAATAATAATAATAATAACAATTATGCTAATAAGGAAGCCAAAATATGCCTTCTTATTGACATGGCAGTCCCTGCAGTCTGCAGTGTATCTTTGAAGATCTTCAAAAAGCTATAAAAATTGCAAGGACCTTGAAATCGGAATCTGAGGGAGACCGCAAGCAAAAAAAGTTGCCTCCTTATTGATATGGCGGTCCCTACAGACTGAAATGTATCTTTGAAGATTTTCAAAAAGCTATCAAAATGCAAAGACCTTGAAACCGAAATCTCAAAAATGGCACATAGGAACATCAACAATCCTTATTGTAGTTGGAGCCCTCTGATTTGTTGGAAAAGATTCCAGTAGACTAATTGAAGGGATTCCTGGAAGCCTATGCCTTAAAGAAATACAAAAAAATGTTCTCACGATTACAACCTACACCTTATGAAAGGCTTTATCTATGTAAAATATTTTTTTTGTTTTTGTCAGTGGAAAATGTGATGTCACATTTTCTGACCTTAGGTCTCTGATTGGGACTCGGAAAGAAATGAGTATACATCAGAAATCAAAGGAAAAACAACAACAGCAACAATAATAATAATAACAATAATATGCGCCTTTGTGGTTGGCGGACTCGAGACGATATTACTGGGATTGCGCAAGAATCAAGGCTTCTTAGAACAGCTCATGTGCTGAGGGAAGGATTGTCTCTCCAAGCTGCGGGTATGGAGTGAGATACGACCATGATCACACGGCTGAAAGATCTATATGAAAGAGGTTATCAAATAATAAAATTAAAATCCTAGCATCTCATTGCTTTAGATGTATGCGTTGCTTGGTTCTGTGAATATTCTACGAAAGGTGCGATCTGTTTGATGTCTTACGACATGAAGGAGAACATCCATAATGCCAAATGCTCCGGTAACAAACGAAAAAGCGTGCGGACGAAAAGATAATAATAATAATAACAAAAATAACAACAGAATACTCAAAACTAATCGTCCAGACATCGTGATTAGAGACCGCTAAGAGAAAATGTACATTCTTATTGATATTGCAGTCCCTGCAGGCTGCAATCTATCTTTGAAGATCTTCAAAAAGCTATCAAAATAGAAGGACCTTGAATTTGAAATCTCGAAAATGTGGCACATGAGAACATCAACTGGGATCGAGAAGTCTGCAACTGAGAATTCGAGGAAAACCACGCCGAGGACAGTCCTCACAGACGCTCCCTATATTCATTAAAAGAAAATCCCACAAAAAGAACAATAAATAAATGGTCTAGGGAAAAGTATATTGAAGTAATGTTAGTCTTTTATAAATTTGAAAACAACAACAACTACGAAAGCCAAGAAAAACATCCCTCAAATAGACTAAACATCGATGCCAACAAACTAGCCAATGTCGTGACATCATCAGTAAAAAAAAGAATACCTGACAAAGCATCCGAGAAAACATCAAAAGTAGATTACCCGTTAAAGTCCTGGGGCTAAATGCCAACAACACAGAGGAGACACATGTAGAGGAACAAATAAAAATTAGTTGTAATAATCCCTCTGAGGGGTTGTTCATGATGACGGTCGTCTTTGAGTATAGAATCCAGAGGTTAGCAGTGAATATTTCGAAGACAGTAGGCAAGCGTTGTTCAGGTTAGCAGTGAATATTTTGGTAAAAGTAGCAGAGCGTAGTTCGTCCTTCCTTTATCTCTTCGCCTGACAAGCTGGACTGAACATTCGGGTAGAGTGAACAAAATGGCCGCCTTTATACACGACGGATTGAATGTTCTACGTCTTCTGATTGGTTAACCTTCTTTTGGTGGACTATAAAGTGAGTCAAGTCATTTGGGCTAACTCACTAGTTACATATATATACACAAAAAACTGCAACATGAGGTACACAAGCAAATAGAGGAAAATAATGACGAATATGGGAGAGAACAAAAATGACAAAAACATTCGATATAAATGGAAGAATGTAAAGGAAATATCTTTCGAGGAAAGGCCGACAATTTCAAAAGTAAGAAAGGAGCGCCAAGTGAAGGAAACCACCAACCTTGCCAACGAAGCAATTAGAAAAATAAGGAACAAAGTGGAAAAACCGATGAACGTGACAGAAGTTAAATATCTTGTATACACAGTCACGACAATGAACGCAGAAGCAATAGGTGAAAAATAAAACCACAGAGTAAACGAAAAAGAAAAATGCTAGTCTGGAAAGAAATAAGAGAAACTGAAATAAATTACGAGGATAATTGTCACTGCTAAGTGAAGGAGACAAGAGCTTGAAAATGAAAGAACAAAACGAGACAACTAAAACGAAACCTTCACATAAGCATTAAAACTAATGTACCAAAAGCTAAGGACATGCTGAAACAATAAATTCAAGCGAAGGAACAGAGAATCAGGCGTTATAAAAAATTATTTTTCTAGCAAAACAAGATCTTCAAAGAAGATGCCAAGAACTGTCGAGAACTTGGAAAAAAATAAATGGTCCATCAAATATCCTGAAAATCGAATAGTTCTGGTGTAAGATGTGGGAAAACTGCAAAATGCGGAAGAAAAGAGCTACATGGACCAAGCAAAAACAGAAACAACACACACATATAGAGTGCCAAAAATGGACGGATTTCAATATTACTGAAGCAATCGCTGCCATCTGCATAACTAAACACTGGAAAGCGCCAAAAATAGACCGAATACCCAATTTTTGGGATAAAAATATCTACTACCCACAAAGACCTCGCATGGGTATACAATGATATAATCATAAACCCAGAAAAATAGCCCAAGTCACTCTCGTGGGGAGTAACAGATCTACTTCAAAAACAGAAGAGACGGAGAACCCGAAGAACTATAGACCCATCACCTGCTTACCAACAATCTACAAGATCCTCACTTCGATCATAACCGAGAGAACATACAACTTCCTTGAGAAAAAACAATTTACTCCCAGCAGAACAGAAGCGATGTAAAAGAGGAAGTTACGGGCGCTTGGACCAATTAATTATCAATAAAACTATATTGAAAAAGGTGAAAACAAAGAAAAGAAACTTATCGACAGCATAGATCGACTGCAAAAAAGGCGCTCGACAGTGTTCCGCACTCATGGATAAAGATGAGCGTAAAAATATACAGTGTTTGCCCCAAAATGGTCAAATTCATAACAGAAAGCAAGAAAAATTGGAAGACTACACTAAATCTAAACCATGAAAACGGGTCATTAACATCGAAACCAATCAATATCAAAAGAAGGATCTTCCAAAGAGATTACCTGTTACCAGTACTCTTCTGGCTTAGATTAGAGAACTCAACTGCCTACTGAACAACAATAGCTACGGATACAATTCACAGAATGTCAAACTGAATCACTTATTTTATATTGATGATCTACAATGTTTTTCAAGGATGACAACCAACAGAAAATCCTACTCATCATTGTCAAAACCTTCAGCAAAGACATTAGGATGGAGTTTGGAATCGATAAATATGACAAAGCCACCCTCAAAGGCGGTAAACTAACGAAAACTACGGATTTAGACCTTGATATCAATCATATGATTAACAAGATTAAGGAACTAGAACAAAATGGTATATACAAATATTTAGGAATTAATGAAGGAGACAGAGTACAACATTCAAATATGAAGAAAAAGATCCGAAAAGAATATTATAGGAGAGTGCGTTTGATAGTAGAAAGCGAACTTAATGGAGCCAATAAAATGAAGGCAATCAACACCTTAGCTATATCCGTAGTAACATACAGCTTCAATATTATTAAATGAAAGTTGAATGACGTTAAAAGATTGGATGCCAAGACCACAAAAATACTTATCCACCACCCGAAATCGGATGTTGATAGGTTTTACGTACCAAGAGCTTTACTAAGCCGATGTCTAATCTAAACTGAACTAACTCTGAAAACTACTACAATCGGATTGGATGCATAACTCCCTGAAAAACAACGACTCTCTTCTACAAATGAAACACCAAATCCACTTCAACAACAATGAAGCTGCACTCTTCAAGAAACAGTTTAATGTAACCGAAACCCTACGAACAAAAAACGAAGTGAATACCA